GAGAGAGAGAGAGAGAGAGAGAGAGAGAGAGAGACTAGATGTGTATAAGAGACCCCCCCCCCTCTCCCCCCCGGCATTTACTATTTTAGGTAGCTTCTCTGGTCATCCCGACCAATTGCATCGCTGCTCCGCCGGGGCATCAATCAAATCCACAAGGCATTCGGCTCAGTGGATAAATAGCGGACATGGCTGCCACGTCAGCACTAGTGGCCCTATCTTTCCTTGGCGGGAAAGTTGACAAACTGGAGATTAAGGATAAAGAATATAATAGGAATGTAATTAACCGTGAGAGGGGGGATGCAAGCCTTGTAGAGCAAGCCACGCGGGGCTTAAGTAGCCCCCCCCCAACGTGCTTCTCCGCTCGAATAAGGCTGAAGACCCGATCCCGATCGGTGGCCACCGACGTGTCCTGCTGCGGTTGGCGGGAAATCAGAGGGTATCCGATTGCCACGTGGAGAGCTGGGAGCATCGCTGCGCGCCGGCGCCAGATGCGCGCTGCTGGCATTCGCGGGAAACTATTCCCGCCGCCGCCGCGCGTCCTTGGCCTTGGCTTTGATGAGGACCTGGATCGGGATCGGTCATCAAGGAGGGATGGGGATACTCTTCAGCAGTGTAGCTCGCTTTCTGAGCGGACACGTGGCAGCTGGAGACGACCACTTCATCACTCGGCCGCGAGTTCCTCCACGTGGACGAAGCCAAGAGGGGCAATGATGATCAGGAGGCTGACACGTGGCGGCTCATCCTTGGATAGAGCAGCAGCAGCAGCAGGAGGAGGAGGAGGAGGAGGAGGAGTGGGTTTTGCCTATTTAGCGGGAACGCCAGTGGTTCAAGTAGCTGGGTATGGTGAGCGCTCGCGAGAGAGCAGGACACGTGGACGGCTCCAGGTACAGGGATCAAATCCGCGGCCCGTCCGTCCGAGCAGTGTAGCCCATTTACCACTTGGGGCGGAATTTATTATTAAAAGAAAAAAAAAAAAAAAGGAATGAATTTTTGGGATTAAAAAATGGGGCATATCTTTATTAAAACGAGAACGAACATGTGCGGGAAGTGATTTTATTTTTTTTATTTTTTTTATTTTTTTTTAACTAGAGTCAAGCTCGACAGGGTAAAGAAACAATGTAGCCCACTGGTGAAAAATGAAATTCTGGAATTCAAAATTGGGTAAATGTTTCTTTTAAAAGCGAACGAACATGAGTGGGAAGGGTTTTTTTTTTTTAATTAATATTAGAGTCTAAGTTCAACAGGGTCTCTTCCGTTCCCGCCGATTCCTCCCATTTCATTCTTTGAAAATCCCTTTTTTTTTTTTTTGCCAAATGAAATTTTGGAATTCAAAATTGGGTAAATGTTTCTTTTAAAAGAGAACGAACATGAGAGGGGAGTGTGGGTTTTTTTTTTTTTTTTTTTTTTTTTTTTTTAATTAGAGTTTAATTTAAACAGGGTCTTTTCCGTTCCCGCCGATTCCTCCAAGTCCATTCTTTGAAAATCCTCCTTTTTTTTTTTCTTTTTTTTTTTTGCCATTTGCAACAGATGGTTATCCCAAAGTTGGGGGATCGAAGACGATCAGATACCGTTCTCGTCACAACCATAAACGATGAAACCCACCACGTCCAGACATAGCAAGGATTGACAGATTGAGTGGTCTTTCTTGATTCTATGGGTGGTGGGGTGCATGGCATGGCCGTTCTTAGTTCTTAGTTCTTAGTTTGGTGGAGTGATTTGTCTGGTTAATTCCATTAAAAAAAAAAAAAAAAAAAAAAAAAAAAAAACACCGGTCCGAATGACCCACCCTCTACACCTTGCGTGGTCATTCAAATGCGGATGCGTTTCCTGCTTTTTTATATATGTTTTTCATTTTGTGGACGTAGTTTTCTTTTTTTCCCCCTTTGTGGGCATAGTAATTTCAGTTTTTCTCAGTATTATTATTATTATTATTATTATTATTATTAACACCCTGTACACCTTGCGTAGGTTGTTGTGAACTTGTACAACCTACGGAATTTTCGTTTGCAAAAAATCCCCTCATGGCCTGGCACTAGAATGCACTCATTGATCTAAAAAAATCCTCCCAAGTAACTAAATAAATATCTTCTTAACTCTTGCGTGCATGTGGCAATGAATGCAGTAGGAGTAACGTATTAATCCTATCAGTTCTAATTGGTAATACATTTGATCGGCGTGATGAATAACGTGAAGAGAAGAAGAGGGAGAACGAAGCAGTGTGAACAAGTAGAGGGAGGAAGGAGGACAAAGGAGGAGGAAGAAGAATAGTGAGAACAGGGGCCAACTGCCTTTCGTACACGCTTCGAAAGCTCTTCAATGCATTGCCGCGTTCTGTCAAAAGAATTGATAGAACGAGGCGAACGGTGAAGGCGAAGAGCGTTGGCCTCGTTTTGTCAAAAGATACAATGTACCACCTGCAGCGACATAGCCAGCTAAAAACGTGCACAATTTTGAAAAAAAAAAAAAAAAAAAGTGCACAATGTCCTAAGAGGGAGGAGGAGGAGGAGAAGGATGAAGAAAAGGAGGGGAGGAGGATGAGTCAGAGAAGGAAGGAGGAGGAGGAGGAGGAGGAGGAGGAGGAGGAGGAGGA